CAATCCCGCCGCACCGCTCAACCCCATCCGCGAGCAAGTGGCCTTTCTCCTGCTGTACACTGGCAAGGAGAAGCTGTCTGCGGGTATCCGAAAAGTCCTCGACGCGTTCCACTCTGGCCATCTGGGCCGGGACGAAGTGGAGGACGCGCAGGCCGGCCTGATCGAGCTCGATACAGACTTTGAGGTGCCCGAGCTGGAAGAGGGCAAGGTCGAAAAGACCAAGGATGCCTGGGAGTGGGACGCACTGCCTGGTCAAGCGGGTGTGATCGATCTGGACGAGGACGCCAAACCCACCCTCTCTGGTCCGGCACTCGTCGCCAAGCACTTGTTCTTCCGCGAGGCGTTTGCGGCGGGGCCAAGCGCCGAGACGACCATCACTGCGCTGCGACCCAGTACCACGGACGAGACGTTTCTCGTCACTGTCAGCGAGAACCGACGACTCACACCGCACACGTACGACCGAAATGTCTTCCACCTCGAGCTCGACTCGGCGGGCACGGGGCTCAAGTACGAGATTGGCGAGGCGATCGGAATTCACGGATGGAATGATGACGCCGAAGTGCTCGAGTTTTGCAAGTGGTACGGGCTCGATCCCGATGCCGTGGTCAGCTTCCCCGTCACCGCGGGCACGATGGAGTCTCGGACCGTCTTTCAGCTCTTGCAGCAGAATGTGGACCTGTTTGGTCGACCGGGCAAGGCATTCTACGCTGCTCTAGCGAAACTCGCCACGTCAAAAGCAGATGCCATGACGCTCAAATTCATCTCTGCACCAGAAGGCGCCGAGCTGTTCAAGCGCATGGCTGAAAAGGAGACGGTGACTTTTGCGGATGTGCTTTATCGCTTCCGCACGGCCAGGCCCGGCATCGAGGAGCTTGTCGGATTGATTCCAGAAATCAAGCCGAGGCATTACTCGATCGCAAGTAGTCAAAAGGCCGTCGGGGACAAGGTCGAGCTCCTGATCGTCACGGTTGACTGGATCGACTCGAAGGGTGAGTCACAATATCTCTCATAGCTCATGACAGGCTCGCCGCGGTACGGTCAGTGCACTCGATATCTCGCTGCGCTTCGACCGGGCGATAAAGTGACTGTATCAATAAAGCCGTCCGTGATGAAACTGCCCCCTGACGATCGTCAACCAATCATCATGGCAGGTCTCGGTACAGGGTAAGCCGCAGTTGATAAGTGTAAGGCTAAATGTCTAGTGCCGCACCATTCCGCGCATTCATGCAACATAGAGCATGGCAGCGTTCTCAAGGTATCCAAGTCGGTCCGCTCATATACTACTTTGGATCTCGATACCGATCGCAAGAATACCTGTACGGCGAAGAAATAGAAGCATACCTCGCTAGTGGAATCATCTCTCATGCCGGACTGGCATTCTCAAGAGACGGCAAAGATAAAGTCTACATCCAACACAAGATGATGCAGGATAAAGCCATGTTGTCGGAAATGCTCCTGGGAGAGAATGAACGCGCGGCGTACTTCTACCTATGTGGTCCCACTTGGCCTGTTCCAGATGTCTACGAGGCTCTGGTGGGTAGTTTGAGCGAGGAGGGAGGGATGAAGAGGGATGATGCGGAACGGTTCATTGAGGAGCTGAAGGAGGATGAGAGATACGTTCTGGAGGTTTATGTGAGTGATCTTTGAGTGGGACGAGAACGTTCGAGGCTGACGTGGTTAGTAATTGGGCAATCTGTTTGCGCGGGTAGAGATGGTTTTGTGTGTGTGTGGGGGGAGGCAGGGCAGTCTGATGGTGTGTGCGTGGGTAGAGATAGTGGTGGGGGATTGCGCCATGTCGATACCATGCTCGTTGCACATATAAACATATATATGCATGGCTATTCATGTTCAGTAAAGCTCGGAGCTTGATTATCATATTATCATGTTATATTTGCCACTGACCGTCCACGATGCCACGCGAAAAGTGACACGTCGAACCTACGCTTTTCAATGACGATGATGACTGAGCAAACTTAAGTGCTTGAAAACATATACAGTTTCTTGATTATCGGCTTCCATCTCTCCAAAGACGGCATATTCATAGGCTGATTAGTACGCTGGCGTACATAACAAGATGCGACCACCATCTATCGTCTCAATAATCGTCCCTGCACTGTCACTGGTGCTTGCCTCGGCGTACGGTTTGGGCGATGGCTCCAGACCTGATTCAAAAGTTGCTAGGAATGTACTGGAGGGTAAATCCGAGGGCTATTGTACTGTATGTCTATATCTCTACCTATCTCTACATCTAGGACTCCTATTCTCCCTGACCATCACCACCCCTCTCTTAAGTAATCTTCGTACAACCACTGTTATTGACTTTTTGCGTATTTCTCTTTTTATCTCAAAAGTTGACATTGTGTTTTCTAGCCCTCAGGACCTATAGAATCCACTCACTGTCTATACGAGACCGTCGAATCACTCAACAAAGACCTCTTCCCGACTTTATCTTCATTGGTCAAGTTCCCATTTTTCAGACATTATAAAGTAGATCTTTATCGAGAATGCCCATTCTGGTATGAGAATGGATTCTGCATGAACAGAGCTTGTGGTGTTCAAGAAGCCAATGAGGTGAGTTTCTGTTTCATCCCATCTCAATCATTAGAGAAGGCGTGGAGAAATGTTATCTACTGCTACGTGTCCTCCTGTTACTTCATCTTCGACGACATTTATAAAAGCAATGTGCTGATATGCTTGTTCGTCATATAGGAGGATATTCCAGAAAAATGGAGATCAGAGGCCTTGTCTGCTGTCACTGTTGACAAGGATGATGGTGTGTCTGGATGTTACTTCAGAGAACAGGATTATTGTTTCATTGAGGATGATGCGACAAAGGGTGAGTGTCGCCTCATTTCATTCAATCCCTTTTCCCCCCTCATTTCATCTCTCCCCTCGTTTCATCTCTCCCTTATCACGTACTCTCACCTTACCACTAGCTGACTCTCTACAAGACGGCCAATATATAGACCTCACCCTGAATCCCGAACGGTTCACAGGTTACGCGGGTGACTCAGCACAGAATGTCTGGCGAGCAATCTATGAAGAAAACTGCTTCGGTTTGTCTGAAGCATCAATGGATAATGCTCGCGCGGCGGCTGCTGCTGCTCCTGGTGGTTGGGGGTTTAGCAAGCTAAGTGAAGGCTGGGGTACGGAGATGATCAAGGGAACGAGAAAAGAAGATGAGATCTGCGAGGAGAAGAAGGCATATTATCGTGTTATCTCTGGTGAGCATACATCTGATTCCCTCTTCTACCGGCAGTCTTCTCGAGTATTCTTCCGCCTCATGGCACGTGCATTTTATGCTGATCAGTTCCTTAGGACTCCACGCGAGTATCTCTATACATATTTGTCACGAGTACCTGGATCAAACGACTGGCGAGTGGGCACCAAATCTCCAGTGCTTCATCAATCGCTTAGCGACACATCCCGAGCGCCTATCCAACGTTTACTTCAACGCTGTTCTCCTTTTGCGGGCAGTCGCTCGCGCCGCACCGTACCTCCGCGCATACGATATTGGTACTGCCCCAGTCGGGCGATTCGATGAAGGTGTAAAACTTAAGCGAGAGGAGGATGTCATAGCTAGAAACACATTTGACGAGGTGCTGCATCTCGCGGGATCAGATGCCATGGCGCATGGCTTTGACGAGGGCGACTTTTTTACAGGAGTCGATGCTCCAGTCAGTCATCTTCCTCTCCTTCCGAGCGGGAACTGATTTCCTACAGATTCTGAAAGAGCAGTTCAAGACGCATTTCCGAAATGTCTCCCGCATCATGGATTGTGTTGGCTGCGACAAGTGCCGCCTCTGGGGCAAGCTCCAAGTCTCAGGCATTGGCACTGCGCTGAAAATCCTATTCGAGCTGGACGAGAAAGCCCTGGAGTGAGTTTACCCTTCCATCCTATGGCAGCTAGCTGACCTGGTCAGCCCAAAAATTAACCCAGATCTACTGCAACGATCAGAAGTCGTAGCCCTCTTCAACACCCTGCACCGAATTAGCGAGAGTTTGGCGGCAGTTGAATCGTTCAGGAAAATGTACGCCGAGACACAGACAGCTGAAGCGGAGGCGTTACGTCGGAGAAAAGAAAAGGTCAAGTCCCTTCCTCCAGGCCAAACTCCACGGACATTGCCAAGCAGTGTATCGCCATCAGCATGGTTTGGGTTGCTGCTTTCAGCCCTAGAGACCACAAGACGGAACTGTACGGGATGCCTCGAGCTGTGCTGGAGGTCTTTGGCACGTGGTCCCTTGGCATGGTTGAGAAATTGGGTGGGAGAGGTGGTAGGCAAGGTCGAACTGTAGATTAGACATATATGTTCTCGTATCTCATTGCATCCCCTGGTTCTTTAAAATCGCTGGTCCCCCGGCCCCCGCAGGGGGCTGGGTGAGGGTTTTGTTTTTCCTGTTGAGGTCCTGGAGCATGGACTATACTTGATACATATACCGGCTGACCTCGACATGCAGCTGATGAATGAAGCTACTAGTGTCGCGCTGCGTGCACTGAGCTAAGAGGGCTTGTCCACCAGAGTCTCAGAACTGTGTTTTTCCAGATGCTTACCAGCTTATATATATCACAGGATACACGCTGTCTTTCATCCGGCTGCTTCTCATGTTGTCAGACACTTGCTGTAAAATACCAAATCCGATTGATTCAGCCTCTCCGAGATCCAGAAACTGGTTGCAAGGTGTGACAGAGCTCTTGCGCCCATGTCAATGTCGATATGTTGACACACCAGGTCCTGACATCTTTTGGATTGTGAGACCCAAAGCTGACGCCAAGAATTGTGATGCAATTGATTGAGTGTGTCCTAGGACACACTCTTTGAACTGCACAATAGGGTATTTTTTCATGTGATGTCACGAGTGTTAAGTCATAGAAGTCAACTACAATAAATGACATGCTGCTAACACCTACATAGGGCAAAAAATCACTTGACTGCATCTGTAAAGTATATAAGCTGGTAAGCATTTGGAAAAACACAGTTCTGATCACTCTGGTGGAACAAGCCCTCTTAGCTCAGTGGTAGCAGCGCGACACTAGTAGCTTCATTCATCAGCTGCATGTCGAGGTCAGCCGTTCGAATCGGCTAGTGGGCAAACTTTTTGGGAAAAAAGTGAGCCGAACTATGAAAAACTTTCTTTTTGGAAACGGACCGGACTTCCCCGTTCGTATGTTTTCTTTATTATGACGCGTTTGGTCGATCGATCAGAGGTGACACACCGGTCGGAAAAGTCTATCCCATAGTTTTACTTGACACCTCAGTATACCACCATCTCTTACGGTAGTACTTACTTATGCTCACACGCTCTAGTAACCGGTTACTGGAGCAGCGCAACCTCCTTCTTGGCCAACTCTCGATCGTCTCAAGACGCATTCATTTACGACGAGCAACACTGGGCTTTTCGCAGCCTACAAAGAACTTATCAACCATGGTCCTCTCCCAGTCACCGACCGATTCATCCACTACTCTCGTTCAAGCTCTTGACCATATCCCTCGCTTCCTACCTACATCAAAGGGGATGTCCTCGGATGGCGATCTAACACCTCCACCTGACGAGCATAGCTCGTCACGGCCTTCGGCGTCTCCAATCCTAGAGGCAGATGTCGAGGAGTTTACTGCACAAATCGCCAGTGCCAGTGCCATCTCCGGTACGCGAAGTAGAGGAAGGAGAGGAGTGATGAAGTCATACGTCGAACATGAGCCTGAAGAGGAGATTGAGTTGCCTGTCAAGGCGCGAGGGAAACGTCAGCCCGCAAAGATCAAGTTGGAATTGGAAGGTGATGCAGAAGAGACAACAGGGACATCGTCCCAGAAGGGACGGAAGAGGACACCCAAGAAAGTGGCGGTGGCCAGTGAAGTAGAGGCAGGAGAAGAGAAAGAGACATTGGAGACGCCTAAGAGAGGAAGAAAGAAAGCGAGTAAGAAAGTCAAAGTCGAGGAAGAGGAAGGTGAAGGATCCGCAGCATCGGTTGATGAACAAGACGATGGCGAGTCCGTAACGCCAAAGAAACGAAAGCCCAAGGTAAAAACACCTAAGAAATCTCGTATAGCGGTGGATGAGCCAGAATACGATGAGGAGGGTAACGAGATCATGAAGAAGAAACGCAAGGTAAAAGAATACCCAAAGATCGAATATGATATCCCGCCCGTTGAGAGAAAGGAGACTACATTTAGAGGTGGGTCCAATCGGTCCTGGTTTGGTTTGAGAGATGTTTGAGAATCGAGGAATGTCAGCTGATGGTCTGGTTTGATCCATTTTAGGACGGTTGGGATACGCGTGTCTGAATACTGTATTGAGAAAGAATAAACCTGAGAGTATATTCTGTTCGAGGACCTGCAGGATCGCTAGTATCAAAGAAGAGGGACTGGAATTGCCTAAGGGGTTGGCGTTGATGAATGCTAAAGATCTCAAGACGATGATTGAGGTGAGTCATCTGCTATCACATGATGAGATTTCTGTGTCTAAGCTGACTCTGGATAGTGGAATGAGCAAAATAAGTGAGTATCGTCAAGATCGGGAGGAAGCGTCTTGTGGCGTCTCTTCAGCAGGAGTAGCGATGTAGCGCACATGCTGACAGACAATACAGGATACGATTCATGAGATTATCCTCTGAAATGTTTCCATTTGCTTCTCACGCCGAATACGGCTATGACCTATCATTTGCAGCCGCCGAGTTAAAAGAGGCTGGCGACTTGGCAAAGAAATATGGACATCGATTGACAATGCATCCCGGACAGGTACGCTCTATCTTTAGTTCCAGAAAGAAACAGTCATTTACTCTTTTTGAAGTTCACCCAACTTGGATCGCCAAAACCGAACGTGGTCACCGCTTCTGTTCGGGAATTGAATTATCAGTGCGAGATCCTGGATCGCATGGGACTGGATCAAGATAGTGTAATGATGTGAGTATAGTATAGTAACCAAATCAAGGGTTGCGAGATTGATCGTCATAGCATACATATGGGCGGTATCTACGGGGACAAGGAGAGCACGTTGGCGCGCTTCAAAGAGAATTTCGCCACTCGGTTAGAGGAACATGTCAAAGCGCGGGTGGTATTGGAGAACGACGAGGTTAGTGAAATGTGCTTGACTGGTAACCTCTCCACTGACATGATAGATCTGCTACAACGTCGACGATATACTGCCTGTCTGTAATGAGCTAAACATCCCAATGTATGTCCTTTTAGTAGGATTGAGGTTAGGCTGACACTATACGTAGCGTTTTCGACTATGTAAAGCCTCACTGTTGACTTGATGCTCAGCGCTGACGTCTACAGCATCACGATTGGATCTATCCATCATCGGAACCACCATCAGTTCTGATTCCCAAGATCGCCGAGACATGGAAGAAACGCGGCATTCGAATGAAGCAGCATCTGTCGGAACCTAGGCCAGGAGCAGAGTCTGTAATGGAACGAAGAGCACATGCAGACCGGTGTAAATCGCTTCCACCTGATCTCCCGGATGATGTAGACTTGATGATTGAGGTGAGCTCCATCTATTCCCTTGACGACTACAGTTAACGGACTTCTCTAGGCGAAGGATAAGGAACAGGCGGTGTTTGAGCTGTATCGCATATAGTAGGTTCTCCTCTCCTTCCCGGTGGTCTGGGAGATGCTCATCAGAAACAGTGGTCTCGAGGATGTCATTCATGATAATCTTCGACCGCCAGATGCCAACCCTTCGATGCAGACAAAGGGACGAAAGAGCAGTACCAAGCGCAAAACAAAGGACATGGGAGGCGAAGACTCTGATGGCAATTCGGTCATCTTATCTGATATAGAAAAAGAGGGAGATGGCGATATTGGAGATGAAGGGGTGGAGGCGAATCGTCAAGTCGAAAGCCAAAATAAGGCTGAGAAGAAGAAGACGGTGAAAAAGGCCAAGAAGATTGCGGAGGCTGCGGAGAAGACTTAGCCGATGGATTAATTGAGGAAGGTTGCGACGTGGTTGATTGATTGATGGACATGACGTCGTGCTGGGGTATACGTAGACGCACGGACCATTTCAGAGGTTGCGATGGCGAATGAAAAAAAAGATGGGGGTCAAAGCACATGTTTCAATCGCTTCTTGGCTGAGCATCGGCGCGAGAAGAGAAGATTTATGCAAAGTGAGCAGCTATAATCCAGTATTCAAGCTTTCGGAAGAGAAATCTCTTCTTCCCCCCACACCTTCACTTCTTTCATTTTAGTTTCATTCAAATTCATTCAGTTCAAATAAGTTGATTTCAGTTACTATGGACGAAAACGAGCAACCAAAGGGCAATGAACCTGATGAGGAGACGGAAGATGGATGGCATGACGAGCGTCTGTCTGGTTGGAAGGATAGGGACAATTACGTGTATCTTTATGAACAAAGAGAGACCTTTGCATGGCAACGGAGGCAAGATCACGAGAAGCAGAAGGTGAGTCCATAAAGTATTTGCTCTCGTTAATGAGTGACAGGTGATCTGGCGGCTGGCTGAAAAAACCTGTTTGTATACGGAGGAGTGTTTACGACTACTGCACAGATCTGCGTTGGACCGCAACGATGTGTCGTGTGTAAGTTATCTTAGTACTATTGCTTTCCTAGCTGACAGGTCTCAGCTGGCAGAACTTTTACTTCAAAGCGCTTGCACTTTCAGATTGATGTGTGACGATACCATGGAAAAACCTTGGCGTCCCAGGTTGACCATCGTACTGGAAAATCCAGTAAGTAAATCTAACGTCGACGCTGATGAACTTCAGGACATGAGACCTCTTAATCGTCGAGAAAGGCGCAGGATCAGGAAATTTTATCACTCCCAACGTCACAATAAGCGCGTACCTGCAGTCAAGGAGGAATCAGAGTCAGAAGATGAAGAGACTGCCTCTGCCAGTACCGAAGAGTAAATTCACTATGGCTCCTTGCTGGCCATCTCGCTCATGCGATCAACAGGACTCATAGTAACCGCCGGAAGCGACAACGCTCCGAAACCGAAGACTACCCATCTAAGCGTAGATGAGGAATAATGGTAGAGTTGAGCATTTGATGGTTTAGCTGTGTAAAGTATTCATGAGTCCGATAGATATCGTAACATGCATTCCAAACCGGTCCTCGGTTCCATATTCATCGCCTACGCTTAGGTTCCCTATCTTCTTCCCTCCTACCAGTCTGTCTATGTCCATTTGGCAAACTCCCTCCAGCACCGCCAGAATCTGATCTCGCACTGGTCGCTCGCTCAACACTATTCACACCTCCCCTACCTTTGATCTTCAATTCGGCTCCACTTGATCCAACGCCGCCACCGCCTACTCCTTCAACCTTTCTAATCATGGTAGCTGGTGCTGGCTCGCGACTTCGCTCTCTGTCTCTGTCTCTGTCCCTGTCTCCGCGATGTTCATTATTGCTATTGTTGTTGCTATTCCCGCGATGTCGTCGATCATCGTGTCGCGGTTGAGATTTCGCGGACAATGTTGATGTTGCTGTTGCTTCTCGAGGTACTGGAGCTTGAGAAGTCTTCGGGCCGAGCGGAATTGGTTTTGACTTGAGTGATCCCACTTCTGTTCGTAATGCCTGAATAACAGAAAGATGGTGAGTGAGATCGGAGCTAGAGTAGATCCGTCAGCAAAGCTCCTCAGTGCGTCAACATTGAAGGGAAGAACATACTCGAGAGAAGATATCACGGCTCGAGATTCTATTCCAATCAATCAGTCAGATTTGTCATACGCTCCCGTCAGACGTTGATGATCACACATACCTTCTAGAGCCTTCTCCCATGGAGCAGTCGTCGCTCTCCCAGCTTCCAAGACCATCTCTCCAAGCTCCTCGTTCTCCTTAACAAGCTCTTTGACCCTCCCCAAAACCGCGCCAACATCGACCTCGTGCCCTGTCTTCATACCGGAAGCAGAACTAGAACCAGAGGCGTCCACCAGATCAACATTGCTCGTAGCTGCCAATGTTGAAGAAGCAGGCGTGGACGGCAAGTCCAGTGTGATCTTTGACGATGAGGCTGTAGGAGGTGTTACGGTACTCGTGGCTGACCGCGTACCAAGGAAGGTATATCGGAGAGCCTCATTATCACGAGTGAGCTCTGCAATGTGTTTTCGAAGGAGGGATAGCGTAGGGAGAAGCTC